CAGGGAGATCTTAGCAAACTTCCTTTTTTTTTTTTTTTTTTAGGATTTTATTTATTTATTTGAGAGACGGGAGGTCAGAGGGAGAGGCAGACTCCCTGCTGAGCAGGGAGCCCAATGCGGGACTTGATCCCATGACTCCAGGATCATGACCCGAGCCGAAGGCAGTGGCTTAACCAACTGAGCCACCCAGGCGCCCCCTTAGCAAACTTCTTTAAAAGTTGAGAGCTCAAGTATACAAAATTTGAGCAAGACAGTTAACAAATTTGAGCCAATGGATTTATATATAACTGTACACTGTCTTAAAAATTTAAACACTACATAGTGCTTATGATGTGCCAGGCACTGTTGCAAGTGGTTTATAGCTATTGGCTCATTTATTTACTTTTTAAAGATTTTATTTATTTATTAGAGAGAGTGAGTGAGAGAGAGAGCACAAGGAGAGGCAGAGGGAGAAGCAGACTCCCCGCTGAGCAGGGAGCCCAATGCGGGGCTTGATCCCAGAACCCTGAGATCCTGATCTGAGCTGAAGGCAGACGCTTAACTGACTGAGCCACCCAGGTGCCCTGCTATTGGCTCAGAGTACATATTCTTTCTCAGGTTATATGGAATTGTCGTAAAAGTGATCATGTACTGGGTCACAAAGCAAGTCTCAACAAATAATGAAAATTCAGTATCTGTAGAACCAATCATACGTAGTAAAAGGACAAAAACATGTAACCCAGCAGGTTCCCTAACAAAGGCAAGGAGAGGCGGGGAGGGAGAGTAGGGGGTGGGTGAAGCAAGAAGTATTAGCTCTACTGAATATGTTTTATTTGAGACGAAGGAAGGAAGGAAAGAAGGAGGGGGGAAGGAATGAAGGAATGAAAGAAGAAAGGAATGAGGAGGAGGAAGGGAAATTTCTCTTAAATGGTCCAAAAAAATAATCTGCATATATAATATAGAGAGCTAAGGATGAGCAAGTGTATAAAATACTGACATTTGGGAAACTCTGAAAGGTGTGTAGGAATTCTGTAATTTTTTTTTCAATTTTTCTAAAAGTCTGAAATGATGTTACAGTTTCAAAGAAATTATAGTAATTACGCAGTCTCAGTGTATGGGTAAATAAATACCACAGTATCTTTCTTACCTTTTCAGTATTTAATGAGAAAAAAGGAAAACAATTTAAATCAAGCATAGCAAGTTGTCTTTAAGAGGAACCCCAGGTGTCGGAAGAGGTGAGGCTGCAGTTCACCCACAGAAGACTGCCTTTGAGTAAACTGAAACAAGGAGCTCTCAGGGGGCTCTGCAAGCAGAGGGGGCCGAGGGCTTGGTCCCCGCTCTCCCCTGAAGCCGCTGCCCAATTCTTTAACCCTGAATGCACATCTTATTTATCTGCATTTGGCAGTTTTTCTCTATGACAGGATAAATGGATTAATCAACATTAGGACACACCTAGAATTGTTTACCCATTAACTACTTCTGTGCATGTATGCAATGTTGTTAAGTCACTATAGAATGCTCACTGTAAACAAAGCACTGCATGGGATATAGTAGAAAAGTATAAAAATAAATACACGACGTGGCCAAATGCTCACTCCAAACCCATAATCTGACAGAGAAAGGAAAAGCATGAGTGCCTATGTGTGCCAGAGGTTATACTTTCATTTTTGCTGCCTCATTTCATTTCCATACCAATTCTGTGAAATAGATTTTCATTATTCCTGTTTTATCCATGAGGAAGCCCAGAAAAGTTTTTTTTAAGATTTTATTTATTTATTCATTTATTTGAGAGCGAGAGAGAGCCAGCACGAACAGGGGGAGGGGCAGGGGGAGAGAGAGAAGCAGGCTCCCCACGGAGCAGGGAGCCCAATGTGGGGCTGGATCCAAGGACCCCAGGATCATGACCTGAGTCAAAGGCGGATGCTTAACCAACTGAGCCACCCAGGTGCCCCAAGCCCAGAGGAGTTATTAACTAGGTCAAAATAACACAAGTACCAAGTGACAAAGCTTAGGCCTGTTCAATTCCAAAGTCCATGCTCTTTCCACATCACCATGTTTATAAAAGTCACAAAAGCATAAATACTGTAAAATTTCACTTACTCAACACCCTTAGGGATGAGTCATGCTAGATAGATGACTAAGTAAAAGGCCATTCTCTAGGCAACATTATTCAAAACCTTCTAAGGTTAGAGCAGAGAACACTCCAGAAGCCTCTGGGGAAGAGGATTTTCTTTTCTTTTCTAAGATTTTATTTATTTATTTGACAGAGAGAGACACAGTGAGAGAGGGAACACAAGCAGGGGGAGTGGGAGAGGGAGAAGCAGGCTCCATGCTGAGCAGGGAGCCCAACTCGGGGCTCGATTTCAGGACCCTGAGATCATGACCTGAGCTGCAGGCAGACGCTTAACCAACTGAGCCACCCAGGTACCCTGAGGATTTTCTTCCCTGCATTTCTTTTCCCTCTTAGGCTTCTGGCATTTGAAGCCCAGGACACCTGGTGTCTGACAGGTTCTTCCTGAAAGCTCCAGAAGGTGCCCAAGGATTCCTTTTTCCTTTTTGTTCCCTCAAAATCAAATTGAGACAGACTGGTAGTTCAGAAATAATTTTAGTACATACAAAGGGAGAAGAAAACAAGAAATATTTACAGAAAATACAGCCAGTGTAAAAACAGTTGGATTTCTAAAGCAGTTTTCTGATACCAGATTGGGTTCAGCACCTACTCCGTCCTGAATGTTAGTCCTGAATGTTAGAACACTGCCCAAAGGGTGGTATGAGTCTGCAGGCCTGTTTCTCATCTCATTCCTCAGCATTTTGCTATGTCCTGGTCAGGCAGCTTTTGGTATTTATCTTGTCCTTAGTCCGAGAAATGGGTCTAATAATTTATTCTATTCCGTCCACATATCACCACCCTGAATTTTAGGGAATAAAAATATCTCATTCAGAGAGATCAAATGGAGAGATCATGCAGGCATATAGTACCTAGTAAGCACTCATATTTTTCTTGTCTTCCTCATCTCTGCACATGTGCAGCAGCAGCAGCATCATACCAACAATAATTGTAGCTAATAGTTGCGCATTTACTATGTCTCAGGCACTATTCTATTCTCACTTTACATGCATCAATTAGTTTAATCCTCACCACAATCTTATGAGATAGGTACAATGACCACCTTCATTTGATGAAGACACTGATGCACCAAGAAGATAAACAAGCTGCTCAAATTCAAAAGCTGAGACTCAGTCTAACCAGCTGAGCTCCAGAAACAGCATTTCTAACCACCATGCTACACACGTAAGGGACTCTCCTGTGTCAAAAGTTAGCCATCTAGACCTTCACAGATCCTTCCCCTCATTTTGCCTAGAGCTGATACCAGAGCAAGAAGAGATAGAATTGAGGGAACATAAAAAAGAGCCTATAAGTGTACCCAATCTTATATATCATTTATGCTTAAAGTTGCAGCTTTATAATCTTCAGTACCGTTTGAATTCTTAAAGCGGCATTTAAAACTTCCAAAATCAACTTAAAAAAACATGTGTCAAGGTAGATTCGTTTTGGGCGACAAAATGACCGAGCATAACTAACTTTGGAAAGGAAGGGATTTCACATGGGAGGAAGTTTTTTGCTTGTTTATTTTAATGTCAGTTAAACTACATTAAAACAAGAGCTCATCATGAGGGGGGCACCTGGCTGGCTCAGTCGGTAGAGTGGGAGGCTCTTGATCTTGGGGTTGTAGCCCCATGTCATGTAGAGATTACTTAAAAAATGGGGCTAGTCTTATTTGGGGTGCCTGGCTAGCTCAGTTGACAGAGCATGTGACTCTTAATCTCAGGGTCATGAGTTCAAGCCCTACATTAGATGTGGAGCCTACTTAAAAAAAAAATTGGGTTGTAAAACAATAGCTTATCAGTAAATAGTGAGTATTTCTCCGTATCATTAGGACAGTGATTAAGAACAAGTGTTAAGAGCAGACGTGGGTTGAATTCCAGCAACACTACTTCACTAGCTGTTTGAAGTTCTGTGTTTTCTTTTCTATGCACGGGAATAATGATACCTATCATCTAGGGATATTGTTAGGCTTAAGACAATACAATTAAGGTGACTAGTACAGTGCCAGATTCATCACAAGCACTCAATAAGGTATTTTTCTTTTTTATGACATCACTGTAACGGCTAGAGTATCCCATCTCATGGCTGTGCCAGGATCCATTTAACCAGTCCTGCATTGTTAAAATTTGGAACTTTTTTTTAAAGATTTTTATTTATTTATTTGACAGAGAGAGACACAACAAGAGAGGGAACACAAGCAGGGGGAGTGGGGGAGGGAGAAGCACGCTTCTCGCAGAGCAGGGAGCCCGATGCAGGGCTCGATCCCAGGACCCCGGTACCATGACCTGAGCTGAAGGCAGACGCTTAACGACTGAACCACCCAGGTGCCTGGAACATTTTCAATACTATCAATAATATAAACAATAGCAAAATTTCCCCATACATTTCTGGTTATTTCTTTCTTTCTTTTTTTTTTTAAAGATTTTATTTATTTGACAGAGAGAGACACAGCGAGAGAGGGATCACAAGCAGGGGGAGTGGAAGAGGGAGAAGCAGGCTCCTGGCTGAGCAGGGAGCCCGATGTGGGACTCGATCCCAGGACCCTGGGATCATGACCTGAGCCAAAGGCAGACGCTTAACGACTGAGCCACCCAGGAGCCCCCATTTCTGGTTATTTCTTTAGGGTTAAATCTTATAAGTGATTTGGTAAATCAAAGAATATCAACATTGTAAACTTGTGACACACATTGTCAAATTATCAACCAGTATATAGTTTTACCAAGTTAATCTTCTATGTATTGAAGGGATTTGGTCAACTCTTGCCAACAGCAGACATTTTAAAGAAATATGCTAATTTTATGGATCCTCCCAAATCTCATTTTATCAGATGTTTCAATTTCTTCTTTTGTTGTATTAGAAAGGTCTGAGGCTCTATAAATTAAAGTATGAGACTGGCAGAAAAATAGAAAAATAATTGGGATAAGTAAACATTTTAATGTAGCATGTTACAGATGGGGCACTTCAAGACATTTATGAGGGGCTGGGTTTTTCCAGTGGTTTTCAAAGTACACCTTGTGGGGAGGTGGGAATGGGGGTAAGCACTGCTGGCAAGTTGCATTAACTCTCATTCATTTCCATTTCAGCCATATTGGTCTGTTTTACATATTGAACTTATTGGTAAGTTGATCTGAAGGGTTCTGGACCTGAAAACAAAACCAAAAACATACTTAATGCAAGGTTTTGGGGCAACTGGTATTTTGCAATATAAAATAAGTAAATAAGTTGAATCTCTCCCTCACATCCTGTGCAAAAATACATATCAGCTAGATGAAAATATTAAATGGGAAAAAACCTCCATGAACTACCAGAAAATATGGACAAGCATTAAGCCCTTTTAAAGCACACTGATAAAAGCAGAGACCATGACGAGAGGCACTATTTCTCTGTGTTGGTTTTTCCTACAATATATGCCTCTGACACAGATTCAAAATGATTTTGTGGCTAAGGGGGTGTGGAAATGCTACACATCAATAATAATGCCAAGGATGGCTTAGGGTATTAACATCCCCGTTATCTCTATCAGAACCCCCAGATCACCTGGTAATATATGCAGTAAATATACACAGTAAATAAAATAATGTGCAAAATGAAAGCTGTAATACATCCTAGTATGTTATGCTGCAAGCCGACCCTTGCCATTAAGCCCTTCTCTCCACAGACATTCTAGAAGCATCACTGCTTGTCCTCTGGAGTCAGAGTGTCATCAGCATAGAAAGGCTCTGACAAGTACTTAGTGGAAAAAGAAGAAAACTAACTACATTTACTTACTGTTTTATCAAACTGACTTGACTACAGAACCCTCCCTTCAACATGATACCTATTAATATCCATAGAATTTGTGGAGCACACTTAGCAATGTCAGGCTAAAAATTAATATTTGAAGGAGAAAATGCTCAGCAAGAGGTGTTATTGTGAAAGACATACGTCCATTTATTGTTATTTTTTTAAAAGATTTTTTATTTATTTATCTGAGAGAAAGAGTGAGCAGGAGAGACAGTACAGGAACAGGGGCAGAGGGAGAGGGAGAAACAGGCTTCCTGCTGAGCAGGGGGCCTGACACGGGGCTTGATCCCAGGACCCTGGGATCATGACTTGAGCCGAAGGCAGATGCTTAACTGACTGAGCCACCCAAGCGCCCCCATTTTATTGCTATTTGACCAATGCCCAAATTGAGGTGCTCTCCAGTGTTGTGATCTGCTGACACCTAGTGCTGATGCTTTAATTTAGTGTACACACACACACACAATTTCCAATACTTTCCTGCCCACCGAAATAAAAACCTTGCAGACAGCATTTATATTCTTATACGTAATTATAATGCATTTTTATCTTGGAATATTATGAAAGGACTTATGTAAATGATCCAAAGGGCTAAGAAAGTATGCTGCCTTGTACTTTTGCTCTTCTCTCACCTATTAAAATGTCTTATGAGACTATACGTATTAAAAAAATGTGTCAAGTAATGCTTTTTCTGACTCTTTATGTTATATCCATGAAGGGAATTGAATCAGACTGTGTTTAAGGGACAGAGCTAGAAGGTTCAGATAGAGAGATCAGGCCATTCTACAAAAACTCGAGATTGTAACTGGAATGAAGATAAAGTGTTTCTTTCAGTAAGCTCTTGAACCTATTTTCTTTTACCCCAAAAGTACCCTTTGGGTTTTAAATAAAGGGAAGGAAAAAGATGAAAGAAGGAAAATTAATATAACTGCAGTGATAAGCATTCTCCTGCTCCAAGGACAGTGGTTATTTGGTCCAGCCATTTAAATTAGTGTTAATTTGAATTATGAACCGTTAGGCTTATGAGCATGAAGATGCAACTTTTTTTTCCTTTTTTCTATTATTATGTTATGTTAATCACCATACATCATTAGTTTCTGATGTAGTGTTCCATGATTGTTTGCGTATAACACCCAGTGCTCCATGCAGAACGTGCCTTAATACCCATCACCAGGCTAACCCATCATCCCACCCCCTCCCCTCTAGAACCCTCAGTTTGTTTCTCAGAGTCCATCATCTCTCATGGTTCATCTCCCCCTCCGATCCGCCCCCCCATTCTTCCCCTTGTGCTTTTTTTTTTTAAACATATAATGTATTATTTGTTTCAGAGGTACAGATCTGTGATTCAACAGTCTTGCACAATTCACAGCGCTCACCATAGCACATACCCTCCCCAATGGCTATCACCCAGCCACCCCATCCCTCCCACCTCCCACCACTCCAGCAACACTCAGTTTGTTTCCTGAGATTAAGAATTCCTCATATCAGTGAGGTCATAGGATACATGTCTTTCTCTGATTGACTTATTTCTCTCAGCCTAACACCCTCCAGTTCCATCCACATCATTGCAAATGGCAAGGTTTCATTCTTTTTGATGGCTGCATAATATTCCATTGTATATATATACATCTTCTTTATCCATTCATCTGTCGATGGACATCTTGGCTCTTTCCAGTTTGGCTATTGTGGACATTGCTGCTATAAGCATCAGGGTGCACATACCCCTTCGGATCCCTACATTTGTATCTTTGGGGTAAATACCCAGTAGTGCAATTGCTAGGTGCTATGGTAGCTCTACTTTCAACTTTTTGAGGAACCTCCATACTGTTTTCCAGAGTAGCTGCACCAGATTGCATTCCCACCAACAGTGTAGGAGGGTTCCCCTTTCTCCACATCCCCACCAACATCTGTCGTTTCCTGACTTAATTTTAGCCATTCTGACTGGTGTGAGGTGATATCTCATTGAAGTTTTGATTTGGATTTCCCTGATGCCGAGCAATGTTGAGCACTTTTTCATGTGTCTGTTGGCCATTTGGATGTCTTCTTTGGAAAAATGTCTGTTCATGTCTTCTGCCCATTTCTTGATTGGATTATTTGTTCTTTGGGTGTTGAGTTTAATAAGTTCTTTATAGATTTTGGATACTAGCCCTTTATCTGATATGTCATTTGCAAATATCTTCTCCCATTCTGTCGGTTGTCTTTTGGTTTTGTTGACTGTTTCTTTTGCTGTGCAAAAGCTTTTTATCTCAATGAGGTCCCAATAGTTCATTTTTGCCCTTGCTTCCCTTGCCTTTGGCAATGTTTCTAGGAAGAAGTTGCTGCAGCTGAGGTCGAAGAGGTTGCTGCCTGTGTTCTCCTTTAGGATTTTGATGGACTCCTGTCTCACATTTAGGTCTTTCAACCATTTTGAGGAAGATGCAACTTCTGATCTATATTAAATGTGTCTCTGTATGCTTAATAATGTCAATGCAATGATACCCATTTGCACAAATACACTGTATTAATAACTTCCAGGTTTTCTGCTACTAGTTGGAGATCAGATCACATATTTCAATAAAAATTCTAGTGCTACAAAATCCTGGAATGCCAATTTTAATTATCATCTGGTAACTATAAAGTAGTCACTTATTATAAGATAGGTTTAGTATTTTTGAGTATCTGACATCTTTTTTTAAAAGTTCTATGCCCAACGTGGGGCTTGAACTCAGTACCCTAAGATCAAGAGTTGCATGCTCTACCAACAGCGCCAGCCAGGTGCCTCACCCCTTTTTAAGTATGACATCTTAATTTAATAGTATCTAATCTGATTATTGCTGGAAACCACAAAACAATTCCTGTGTATTTACTAGTTCACTTATAGTTACTAAGTTGTTCCGAATGAGCGTGTGTGTATGTTTGTGTGTGCAAGTGTGCATGCTTTGTGCAATTTCTGTTTCTAACTGGAACGTGGCACTGGCAGTTAAAGTGTTGGCTCTTTTGAGTTTGGCATGTCTAGGTTACTATGTGACATGTGATGACCCAACTCTATCAAAATAACCGTGAAATCTTTATACATTTAGTCATGATGTCCTTTGGTTTTCACTTGACACAAAATCCTAAACACTACATGAACTCAGGCATTCAGAATTTCATGTTTTAGGGTGCTCATTTGAGAAATCATAAAATTGTTTTAGATTAGTACCAAAATGCCAACAAAGGATTTTAAAACATTTCTTAGAGAAGTTGTGGATTTTCTATGAAGGTGTATGTTTGGATCTCAGGCTGAGAACCCTGCCATGGATGACAGCCATTCATTCATTCAGCAATATTTGCTGAGGCTACATGTGTCTGGCACAGGGACTCGAACAATCAACAAACTGCCTGCCCTTAGGAACAGCCTTACAGTCTAATGGGGAAGGAGGACAATAGACAAGTAATTATATAATTTCAGATAGTGATTAGTGCTATAAAGAAAGTGAGCAGGACATGGAGGGTGAGAAGGACAGAGGTGCTATTTTAGAGAGGTTGGCAGAAGTGGCATCTTGCTGGAGCTGATATTTGAGCAGACACCTAAGTGATTACCTGGAAAAAGTTTTCCAATCAGAAGAAGGGCAAGTGCAAAGGCCTTGAGACAGGAATGTACACGGAGTGTCTGAGGATCAACAAGGAGGTCAGTGTGGCAGAAGCACTCATGCTTCTAAGCATTATTTCTAAGGAAATAATGTCTGAAGTAGCCAGGGGCCAGATCACACAGGGTCCTGTAATGTCATATAGACTTTGCTGGTCCTTAGGAAAAAAAATGGGATTGCAGAAGGCATGCTTTAGGTAGACTAGAGGTGAAACTCCGGTCTCTGGAACTCAAATTTTACTTTTTTTGGGGTAAGATTTATTTATTTATTTGAGAGAGAGAGAGAACACAAGCAGGAGGGGCAGGGCAAGAGGGAGAGAGACTCTCAAGCAGACTCTGCGCTGAGCACAGAGCCCGACATGGGGCTCGATCCCAGGACCCTGAGATCATAACCTAAGCCAAAACCAAGAGTTGGATGCTTAACTGACTGTGCCATCCAGGTGCCCCTTTATTCTTTTCCTTTTTAAAATCGACTTTATTGGGGCGCCTGGGTGGCTCAGTTGGTTAAGTGGCTGCCTTTGGCTCAGGTCATGATCCCAGAGTCCTGGGATCGAGTCCCACATTGGGCTCCTGGCTCAGCGGGGAGCCTGCTTCTCCCTCTGACCCTCTCCCCTCTCATGCCGTTTCTCTCTCTCTCTCAAATAAATAAATCTTTTTAAAAAAATCAACTTTATTGAGGTATAATTTACACACACAAATGCACCCTTTTTAAAGTTCAGTTGGATGAGTTTTGGCAAATGTATATATCCATGTCATCACCATAATCAAGATGAAGAATATTTCCATCATCCTAAAAAGTTCCTTTGTTCCCTTTTACAGTCAGTCCCCATCCCTTGACCCCCACCAGAGCTAGGAACTCACTGGAATTTGGGGAATCATTATTTTTAATGTAGACTTAATAGCTGTAAGGACTTAGATTTGTGCTGCCAACAGAGAGCCATACCCACACGTGGCTACTTAAATTTAATTAAAATTAAATAAAGTTAACAAATCAGTTCCTATGTTGCACTAGCCACATTAAGTACCTAATAGCCACATGTAGCTAGTGGTTGCCATATTGGGCAGGACAGGCATAGGACTTTTCCATCACTGCAGATAGTTCTATTGGGCAATGCAGAGATGTTACCTAGGTAGAATTTGACCTTTGCCACATGAACGCAGGCTCAGCAGCCTACCTTAACTGACTGAGCCACCCAGCCACCCCTCTCTGCAACTCACAAAGTCCTCCTCCACCCTTTGAAATACCTTCTTCATGAGCCTTTTGAGAATTGCTCCTCTCTGTCCCCAGTTGCTGTCTGATACAGAAAACGCAAATGCTTTCTGGAACCAGGAAGGTAGTATGTCTCAAGGGGACCTGGTAAATGATGTTAGAGTAAAGTGCTGGCCACTGTGCAAAGATGTTCACATTCAAAAAAAAAGTTAAACTGCTGCTGGCCAAACAAAAACACATGTAAGCCAAGTTTGGCCACTGGCCACCAGTCTGCACTCACTTCTTGGCTAATTCTCTCTCAAATCACTAAGCAGCTGTGATGTAGTGGAAAGACTGAGTGAACATGAACCTTGATTCGAAGCCCAGCTCTGCTACTTGCTAGCTGGGTGGTAATAATATTGATAATAATGTTAACCTTCCAGAGTTAAATCTTCTCATCTGTATAATAAAAACAATACTACCTATGTCACAGGATTTGTTTTTCTTAAAGATGTTATTTATCCATTTGATAGAGAGAGAGAGAGAGAGAGAGAGAGAGAGCACAAGCAGGGGAGTGGCAGAGGGAGAGGGAGAAGCAAGCTTCCCACTGAGCAGGGAGCCCCATGTGGGGCTTGATCGATGTGGGGCTCGATCCCAGGATCCTGACCTGAGCCAAAGGCAGATGCTTAACCGACTGATGCTTAACAGGTGCCCCTCACAGGATTGTTTTAAAGATTAAGATAATATTCTTTAAAACACCCTCCCTACAATAAGCCCTCAATAAATTTTTCATAGCATCTGTGATATTTATTTTCTTGTATTGTTTTGATCGATTATATGCTTTATTCTACCTGTATTTATGAACAATTTGGTTGAGCCTATTTCTTCTGTTAGACTCTTGAGTTCCTTTGGGTCAGGGATGTCCTTCTGCATCCCTTTAAGTACCTACAGTACCTATTCAAGTAATTAAGTCCCTTGTATGTCCATCGTGAGATTCAACAAAAGCTTATGACTCAAAGTCTGATTGGGGGAGGAATCTGGAGGAACACAGTCAACTCTTAGTACAGATGTATATTTCATATAGGAAAGCATGTGGCTGGGGCACCTGGGTGGTTCAGTTGGTTAAGCGTCTGCATTTGGCTCAGGTCACGATCCAGGGGTCCTGGGATTGAGACCAGCCTCAGAGCTCCCTGCTCAGTGGGGACACTGCTTCTTCCTCTTTCTCTGCCCCTCCCTCCACTTGTGCTCTCTCTCTCTCAAATAAATACAATAATCTTTAAAAAAAAAAGTATGTGGCTGACTTATAATGATTCCCAAAGTTATGATTCCCTTCCTTTTCCAACATAAAAGAGAAAAAACAATCATGGTTGTTCTCTTAAGTGGATGCCTCTTGCTTTTGCATTTACTAGGTTTGCTAACAGCAATACAGGAATTTTAGAAGTGTCATACTAGAATTTATGGGGGAAAAAGGGTTTCAGTTTTAACTACATTTTGGCCATTCAGATAGAAGTGATGCTGGGATAAAGGTGGTAGAAGAGGTATGTATCAGAGCAGCTAACACTAGGGGCTCAGCTCATTTTCCCATCCAGAATACTGAGACAAGAACAACAACTATTAGGAATCTCATAAAGTTCTTGTGAAAGTTATTAGACAATTAAGGTCATGGAATTTGGGGAGAAGAGGAAGGAAGCATGTGTATCTCACATAAGCAGGTTAGAAGCTTTCTGTACTCCTATGGCTTTATACAGCATGTCATATTTTGTCCTAACAAAATTCTCTTACTTTACAGGTACCCATGCCTTCCAAATGCCTGTAAAAGACTAATTCACATACTGAACTTGGTATGGTTGATATCATTGCCCCTTGGGATGCCTGGGTGGCTCGGTTGGTTAAGCGTCTGCCTTCAGCTTGGGTCATGATCCCAGCCGGGATCCTGGGATCCGAGTCCCACGTCGGGGTCCTTGCTTGGCGGGGAGCCTGCTTCTTCCTCTGCCTGCCACTCCCCCTGCTTGTGCTTGCTCGCTCTCTGGCAAATAAATAAATAAAATATTTAAAAAATATTGCCCCTTTATTGGTAAGCTTTCTTCTTTCTGAACTTTGCATCTACAGACTCATTAAATAAGTGATTTGTAGGTTAAATGACCTAATTTAACTCCAGAATTGATTGAAAACTTAACTCCTCTCCTTCCCCCTTATTAACTATGCTTTATACCAGGGTATTTTATTTTTTCCTCTCAAAAGTATCATTCTCAAAACTAGGAGAACCATAGTAACAAATGGGTTTAAATGTCAGATTTAGTTTGGTAAAAAAGTTTCTAACTAATCAAGGTTCCAAATGAGGAAAGTGGATCAGTCGAATGGACTGTGCTTGACAAGCCAGAGAGAGGCCACCCATTTCTTCAGTAGGGTTTTGTCAAGTATGATTTTGTCAAGTATGATTCAGAACGACACATTCGGATGCAACTTAAAAAATCTATTTCACTGTTCACATGTATTATTAGTAAGGAAAATCTGCCTTGGTGATGTCAAGACATAAAAGTGCATGCCAGTGTGCACACTGCTGTTATCTTTCATGTGCTCTGAAGCTTTCATAATTCAATTCTTTGGATTCTGTATGAGGAAAATAAAATTTCACTGCAGGTGTAACTTCTCCGTAACAGAAGACAATGATTTCTACTTAATGGGCATATTCAATTTCTCAACTTATAAACACTCAATAAAAAATCAGTTCCAAGATCACGTATGTAGTACCACCAAACTATTGTCAAAATAGAAATAAACAACTTTTCCTGCATGAATTAAGAAAAACTTTATTGAAAAAATTATCCCCTTTAAGTAACATTACCTATCTTATATGAGGTAACATCATTTTTTGCATGGACCTGGAAGAACTGGGTGAGGAAATAACATTTGAAGACTTTCTCTTTCAAACATATTTCTTTTGAAGAAAACTGTAGACAATAATTAGGGTGAAAGTCAGTACTAATACCCTTTAGGAGTGTCTTACAGATGGTTCATTTCAAAGCATCAAATTCTATTTACACAAAAAACCTAGTAAGGTAAACAATTCCCTTGGCAGCTGCAGAAGACTCAAATGACCTCATGGATTGCACTGATGTATCTATTTTGTGCCAAATGTTTCAGAAATCTTGAGACAGTTCACTTATCTAAGGTTCAGAAAGCAAGAATTTCCAGAATAAGTGAAAGGGGCTGACTGTACAATAATAATTAAAAAAATACTAGCTTTCAATTAACATATCAACGTGTTTTGCATGAAGAGGCAGTTTCCAAGCACACAATAAAGCTGTACTGCCCTCTTAAGGGTAAACATCTTTACCACTCACTCCTTGAGTCACTAACAGACCCAGAGGCTTAGCAAAAGGTCTGAGCTTAACAGCTCTTTTCTTTTGTAGAAAATAGTGTAAAAAGCACTCTTTGGGTCAGAGATACACTGGTGATTTGACCTTGCACAAGTCATTTAATTCCTAGTATTAAGTGGTAACGTATTAATGGACTGGTGAGAGAATGAGATTATATATATGAACATATGTAAACTATAAAGCAATAGTAATGAGAAGTTAGTTATTATTTTATATAAAACTGGTATAACCTTCCCTGCCTATATCCTTGTCTGTAAAATGGGTACAGATCTAGATCTGAATGCTTAACCGTCACTTACTGGCTGTGTGAACCCGAGGAAGTCCTTTCCTTTCTCGACGTGTTTTCTAACAAGGTTATTATGAAGATCAAATGATACCGTGTTTGTAAAGGCTGCAACAGGAATATATTAAGAACTTAAAAAACAGCTGTTACAGCTCTCTGAGGAGAGGGCCATAAGGAGCAAACTATATCTAGTTAAAACGCTTTGTATGTATATACGACTCTACACGCATCCAAGGTATTGTTATTTGTACTGTAAACTGCAAAGACATACAGGGAACTAGGAAACAAATGGCGCCCCAGTTACCCTCCCTAGAGAGGGAAAAAAGGCAGAAAAGGGGACTTAGGCACTCAGTGGCTTGGAATACAGGTAGGAAAGAGAACAGAGAAGTGTGGCAGAAAAAAAGACCTTAAGAAATACTCCGAGAATCAATTCATTGTTTTCCCCCTTTTTCTTTTACGACCTCCGGTCTAGATTAGATCATTTCATTCAACTTCCCAGCCCGCCATATCGCTGGACATTTATTTACTGTACCTTCTTCACTGAGAGCCTTTCATTCCCCTCCCCTTCTAGGAGTCGTGAACTTCAGACCCTCCGCTTCCGACACCCATTCCCTTTAATTCTGTTTTTACCAGGCTTCCCTGTATCCTTCTATCCGCCTAAGGGGGAAGTGAGGCTGAACGCACCGAAGGGCATCCTAGGAAATGTGGTCTCTCATTCTCTTTTGCTTGCGCTCTAGAAATGGGAAGACGACAAAGGAGATCCAGTTAAAACTACAACTCCCAGCAAGCAACATGAGAGACTGTCTTCCTTTCTGCCCCCCTTCCTATTGCCTTCCTCTTCCGCCTCTCCGCGGGGGCTGAACCGCTCGGCCTCACGGTATTTGTAGTTCTTTCTGGATCCAAGATCCTAGCACTCAACGTCTGGAAGAGAGGCTGCAAGACTCTAATTCCCAGAGGGCAGAGCGGTAGCTGCGCCTGCGCACTCTCAGTGAGGGCGTGTATGTCTGTGTGTCTGAGGGAGAGAGAGAGCGAGAGTGAGTGAGTGTGAGTGCTGGGTAGGGTGGTGGCCGTTACGTTCGGGGCAACGGCTACGGCAGTGGAGAAGTAAGAAGAGAAACAACGTCCGGCGCTTCCGCCTTCGCTTAGGAGGAGGAGGAGCTGGTAGGGAAAGGAAAGTGATTCGCCCTGGGCCTGGAATAGACAGAGTCGGGCTGGTGGGGGTCTGGGCTATGAGCCTTTGAGGGTCGCTTGGGACGCGGAGCGAGACACGAGAGCCGAGAGGTATGTCTCAGCCGCCGCCGCCGCCTCCGCTGCCTCCGCCACCTCCTCCCCCCGAGGCTCCGCAGACTCCGCCGTCCCTGGCGGCGGCGGCTCCTCCGGTGGGGCTCTCGAAACGGAGAGACCGGAGAATTCTCTCCGGGAGCTGCCCGGATCCGAAGTGCCAGGCGCGTCTGTTCTTCCCGGCCTCCGGTTCTGTCAGCATCGAGTGTACCGAGTGCGGACAGCGGCACGAGCAGCAACAGCTGCTGGGGGTGGAGGAGGTGACCGACCCGGACGTAGTGCTACACAACCTGCTGCGGAACGCGCTGCTCGGGGTGACAGGGGCACCCAAGAAGAACACGGAACTGGTAAAGGTGATGGGCCTTTCTAACTACCACTGCAAATTGTTGTCGCCCATATTAGCTCGCTATGGAATGGATAAACAGACGGGCAGGGCTAAGCTTCTCCGGGACATGAACCAGGGTGAACTGTTCGATTGCGCTTTATTAGGTGACCGCGCCTTCCTCATCGAACCAGAGCATGTTAACACCGTGGGCTATGGCAAGGACCGCTCCGGAAGCCTCCTGTATTTGCATGACACTCTTGAGGACATCAAGCGGGCCAATAAAAGCCAGGAATGCCTCATTCCAGTTCATGTGGACGGGGACGGACACTGTTTGGTGCATGCTGTGTCCCGGGCTCTAGTAGGCCGGGAACTCTTCTGGCATGCCTTGAGAGAGAATCTTAAACAACACTTTCAGCAGCACCTGGCCCAGTATCAAGCCCTGTTCCATGACTTCATTGATGCCGCTGAATGGGAGGACATTATCAATGAGTGTGACCCTCTGTTTGTACCACCTGAGGGTGTTCCCTTGGGCTTGAGGAACATCCACATATTTGGCCTTGCCAATGTATTACATCGCCCTATTATTCTGCTAGATTCTCTCAGTGGCATGAGAAGCTCTGGTGATTATTCAGCCACCTTTCTGCCTGGGCTCATCCCTGCAGAGAAGTGCACAGGGAGAGATGGTCATTTGAACAAACCAATCTGTATTGCATGGAGTAGCTCTGGTAGAAACCATTATATCCCCTTGGTAGGCATAAAAGGGGCTGCTTTGCCCAAACTGCCTATGAATTTGCTGCCTAAAGCGTGGGGTGTGCCTCAGGACCTTATTAAAAAGTACATTAAACTTGAGGAGGATGGTGGTTGTGTTATTGGAGGAGACAGAAGTTTGCAGGATAAATACTTACTTAGGCTTGTTGCTGCTATGGAAGAAGTCTTTATGGACAAACATGGTATCCATCCTAGTTTGGTTGCTGATGTCCATCAGTATTTCTACAGGAGGACTGGGGTGATAGGAGTTCAGCCTGAAGAAGTCACAGCAGCTGCTAAAAAAGCAGTAATGGATAATCGCCTTCACAGATGTTTGCTCTGTGGTGCCCTTTCTGAACTTCATGTTCCTCCAGAGTGGTTGGCTCCAGGAGGGAAACTGTATAACCTGGCAAAAAGTACTCATGGACAGCTGAGGCCTGACAAAAATTACAGCTTTCCCTTGAACAATTTAGTTTGCTCATATGATTCAGTGAAAGATGTTCTGGTACCAGACTATGGATTGAGTAACCTGACAGCTTGTAATTGGTGCCATGGCACATCTGTGCGAAGGGTCAGAGGAGATGGGTCTATTGTGTATTTGGATGGGGACAGAACTAATTCTAGGTCCACTGGTGGCAAATGTGGTTGTGGATTCAAACATTTTTGGGATGGTAAAGAGTATGACAATCTACCAGAAGCTTTTCCTATTACTTTGGAATGGGGTGGAAGAGTAGTCAGAGAAACAGTATATTGGTTCCAGTATGAAAGTGATTCATCTTTGAATAGTAATGTTTATGATGTTGCAATGAAACTTGTTACCAAGCACTTTCCAGGTGAATTTGGGAGTGAAATCCTAGTTCAGAAAGTTGTCCACACTATATTGCATCAGACTGCCAAAAAGAATCCTGATGATTATACTCCTGTAAATATAGATGGTGCTCATGCCCAAAGAGTCGGAGATATACAAGGACAAGAGTCGGAATCTCAGCTCCCAACTAAAATTATTCTTACTGGACAGAAAACAAAAACTTTGCACAAGGAGGAGTTAAACATGAGTAAAACTGAAAGAACTATTCAACAGAATATTACGGAACAGGCTGCTGTAATGCAGAAACGGAAAACAGAGAAGTTAAAACAAGAACAAAAAGGGCAGCCCAGGACTGTTTCTCCTAGTACCATTCGTGATGGTGCATCCTCTGCACCTGCTACCCCTACCAAGGCTCCCTATTCACCAACAACTTCTAAGGAGAAAAAAATCCGAATAACAACTAATGATGGACGGCAGTCCATGGTTACACTTAAGTCTTCAACAACCTTTTTTGAACTTCAGGAAAGCATAGCCAGAGAATTTAACATTCCTCCATATTTACAGTGTATTCGATATGGCTTTCCTCCTAAAGAGTTAATGCCACCCCAGGCAGGAATGGAAAAGGAGCCAGTTCCTTTACAGCATGGCGACAGAATTACAATAGAGATTCTAAAAAGTAAAGCAGAAGGTGGTCAGTCTGCTGCAGCACACTCGGCCCACACTGTGAAACAAGAAGAGATTGCTGTTACTGGTAAACTATCTAAGGAACTTCAGGAGCAAGCTGACAAAGAAATGTACTCCTTGTGTCTTTTAGCAACATTAATGGGTAAGATCATTTTAACCTAGATGGTTATTTCTTAATTGTGAATATAATGCATTGAGTTTTTCTGTTGTCTTTGTGAAAAAAAATCTGTGGTCATCGTAAAAACTCTTCGATTATATATATAGTTTAGGAGGAGATTATTTCCTTCAGTTTTTTTTGTTTTTTTTTTTACAGTTGATGGATATATGTGAGCATGATTCTCTACTAAAGTCAATATTTAGGACAACATAACTAAGAAAGTGAAAGTAGTCCCTTAACTGTTACCAGATTATTTAAATATAATTTATTGTTGTAAATTTTTTTAATAGTCTTATAATGTAGCTATTTAAAACCTTTTAAAATATTTTACCTCCTGGGCTCTATTGAGCCTGCCCACTTTGTCCCTTTTCATTTATTTTTAAATTTTCTTTTCCTGCATGTCATGTGATTTCAGGACTTCCTGTTTGATGAATTGCAGTTTCTGGTGTTTATATTCTCACTGCTCTCCCACCTAATAGTCTCTGTCCTCCATTTCCTGTTCTTCCTTTCCCAGTTCATCACATTTTTATTTGTCCATTAGGATTTGTGCTTAAGTTATTTCCTTGCTTACTGACTCTGTGCCATCAATTGTAATAAACTATTATAACTCATGAGAAATACAAGAAACAGGTAGATGTTAATGGGGTTGCTTAAGAAGCATTTCTTTTTAATAATTCAGCATAAATTAAAAATATCAACTAAATATGTAATCTAAAGCTTTAGATGATTTGGGATATGATCCAATGGTGCACTTTTAACATTATTTTTATTTGCTTAATCTTTGTTTTCAGAATCACTCTTAATATGCTTTACTAAGGCTTAAAGTGAATTAAAATTTATATTACATATTAGAAGAGCCTTATTTTTGCTGAGATTAGAGCTTTTAACTGGAAAAGTGATCTGGGTTTTGATTCTTTTTTCTAAGAGTAGTAAATATCAGTGAATTGGGCCTTGACCTACCAAAATGAAGATTATTTATTCCTGGCTTGTTAAATTTGGGGGCCTAGAAGTTAATAGGAGATCTAAAAGCTCTGTACACATTTATAACGATATTGCTGATTTTATTTTGGCAGACATAGCCATCGAATTGGGGGATATGTCAAGAAATGTATTAGGCACACTGTATGTCTGTCTCTTAGAGTTTCTGGTTTCTTAGAGACTACATGAAAGATTGTGTGATCTTTGGAGTCAGAAAGACCTAGAATTTGAATCTTGGCTCCACTGCTTATTAACTTAGTGATTCAGGCAAGCTGCTTAACTCCCCAATACTTTCAGTTGCTTCTTCTCTACAAAATACTCTTTGTAGTTGGGACACAGGGCAACAATAAAATACTCCTAGAACTCTGAAAATTAAATAACATTGGCAGAGAATGGATAAAATTAGGTATATGCAGAAGGTACTTTAAAAACTAGCAATCTCCCAGGTAAAAAACAGGGAAGAGAAGGTCTTCCTCAATAGAGGATGAACTCTTGAGGATGTGGCTCATCTCTTATCTAAACTTGGATGCTCAGTACCTAGTATAGTGCCCAGCAGGTTGCCGGCACTTTGAAATGTTTTTGATTGCATTAAATAGATGACATTAACATGTCTAAAGAAAGGCTGTGTCAGCAGAAATGGAATGGATGGTCAGCATTGAACGTTGAAAAAGAGTTGAAAAGCAGAATTTGGCACTGTTTAGACACTGCTGTACAAAGGGAAAAGATACATCATCTAGGGTTCATGAAAATTCTGGTAACTAGAAAGGTAA